GGATAATTTCTGGAACCACACATTTTTTTCAAGGCAACTGATAAAACAATCGCGATGCTTCTCACCTGTTGTTTTTTTGTACAATTATTTAGGTAGAAACTTCTCCAGGAAATGAAGGCATTATCTATGCATTGTCATGGGCTCCAGGTATAAATTATTAATCATTATTAATGATAGACTCTGCTTAAACTTACTCCCCTTTCAAACTCTCTGTTGCTGAGGGTGAGCCTTAATTTTACGTGGAACTATTTTGAATTAAATATAATGTATATTCATGTGTTCTAGTGAAGATCCATAGAATTTCAAAGACTTTGTATTATTGAAGTTGTACATTCTTTACTTTACTAAATTGGTATTTGTGAATGTTCTGAACTGAAAAAAAGCCTGAGTGAATTAGTCTCCAATCATGGAACACAGTGGTATTTGACTAATTTGAAAGTGGTCTATTGAATTACAGTACCTCTGCTATTGGCTTGTAACTTAAGTTTGATTTTTAGTTGGTAAAATTGAATGAAATAGTCTGACTTCTAGTTAATATTGTCTTGCAATATTTTCTRTAGGTGATTTGAATTGTATCGCTGGTGCAACAGCTAAGCAAGGAGTATTTATCTGGGATATTACCAAGAAGAAAATTATCAAAAAATTCACAGAGGTAAACTACAACTACAATAATGTTTTTGTAAATAATATAATGCTGTTGATTAGTTAATTAGATTCCAGAAAATAAAGTTTATTATAAACTTTCATTGAAATCCTTACCTCAGTGTTAACATTAATCTGTTTTTGTTCTTTATATTCAGCATGGTAAAAACAGTGTGTACAATGTGAGCTGGAATCACAAAGACTCCCAAAGAATAGCATCTTGTGGTTCTGATGGTTATTGGTAAGACYGTTCTATCAAAGTCTATAATCTGTAGTTGCAGGAAATACTTACACYACTGAATTATTGATTGTTTAGTGTTGTAAGGAGGGTGGATGGCTCACCCATCAAGAGTTACAAGCAYCCTGGGGCTGTCTATGGCTGTGACTGGAGTTTAAATAACAGGTATGATRATGATGATGCAGTATGGTGATACATGATGATGAGACGATGATACATGATGATGAAGCAGTGGGAAGCATGGGTGGCGACCAGGGTTCGAGTCCTGCTGAGCTCAGTGTTGTATATGAGTAAAGTTGTTTGTTGGTTCTCTCCTGTGCTTCGAGGGTTTTCCGGGTTCTCCGGCTTTCCTCCCTCCGCAAAAATCAACTTCTAAATTCCAATTGGAATTACAATGGAAATGCCACTGCTAAATCCTATTTATTTTATTTCTTTATTTTATGATACATGATGATGATACATGATGATGATACATGATGATGATACATGATGATGATACATGATGATGATACATGATGATGATGATGAGTAATAGTATAAATGATATTCATCAGATAAA